ACACAGAGAAACACATAGATAAAAACAAAAAAATAAAGCCAGATGCAGAGGCAAGTGGATCTCTATATGAGTTTGAGACTATCCTAGTCTATCTAAATAGCAGGTTCTAGGCCAGCCAGAGCTACATAGTGAGACCCTGTCTCAAATATTTAACTGAAAAGTTAAAAAAACAAAGAATAAAGTTTTACAATATCCAATTCATTCTTCAGCCACGGGTATGGCGGGTGGCACTCCCACACCTCGATGATTCTAAGAACACGCGGAAGCCAACAGTGAAATCCAGCAACCAAGCACAGAGGAAAAAAACTGTAGCCAGGGACTAACCCAGTCAGAAAAAGGGATGGCTCCCAAAGCTAGCCCTGCTGTCTTGCTCTGTGGAGAACCCGGCCCTGCCCACCTGTCCAGGCTCTGCTCTTCCCACCGCCCACACTGGCTAAGAGACCCTGGGGCAGGGCTTCCTTTTGCCTCCTCCTAATGATCTGGCAGGCAGCAAAGGAGAACGAACACACTGGTTCTTTCCCACACATGTCTCCTCACCGCAGAATCTAAAGCATTGTCTTGGCAAGAGACTGGAACAGGGGAAAAGCTGTCAGCAAAGATTCGCACAAAGATCGCAGGGACTGAGAGCCAAGGAATAAAGTGATGACTTTGACTTTGTAAGATAAAAACGAATTTAATTCTCTTTACTCCGGTCTCTGCCATCTTTTCATTATAAATTAAGGCAGTGGGGGGGGGAGCCTCTCTCTCTCTCTCTCTCTCTCTCTCTCTCTCTCTCTCTCTCTCTCTCTCTCTCAATAACCCTGGCTCCTCCAGTGAAGGATGTTTTAGGCCCTGGAATGTAATTAAAGCAATATCGTATTCCTTTTATTCTCATGATTATAATAATACATAGAATTCTGCAGATGCTTTCCAACACCATTAAAACAAAGACAGATGGCTGACGGTTCTGCTGAAATTCAAGTCCGTGGGAGTGTTTCTGTACAGCAGCACTTTCAGAAGAAACAGACCTCTAATAAAATGCTGAGGACTTTTACTAGATATTAGCCAATGGTTATCCTTGATCAATATTTTAGCACAACTTAAAAATATTGATCACCTGGCATTTAAGTGGAAGTTTTGATGTCCATAGTCCAAGGCCTAGTTTTTTTGAGTCTTTTATCATAAGGTCAAAAGTGTTTCAGCCTTTTTCATGCAATCTGCGCCTCCGCTCACAAAGCTGAAGATAACGGCATTGGCCATGTAGCCTTTTGGTAGAAAAATGGATCAATTAAATGTAATCGTTAGGGAGTATCAGGCAACCCCAAAATGAGAATTGTTGTCACAGGGTGGGGCTTGACAGGAAGCTATATACTCCAAAAACATCACTGGGCTGAAAACCAAGGCCATGCATACCCCAGCCTGGAGAAGGCTAAAGTGATGAGGGTACCCCAGGCAGCACCTGCCCCTCCATCAAGGTGGTAACAACCATTGTTGGAAATACTGAAATGTGGTTCCCAGATGATTAAAGTATTTTATTAGCACTATAGCTTCTAAGGCTAATGACTGTATTGTAGCCGTGTAAGGGGATATATCCAGCCTTCATGTTCAGTCGACACACTCTGTTTGCATGCATCTAGAGAATACGGCATAAGGCTTGAACACATTTGCATGTTTTTATATAATAACGATTGAAATATACAATGAGCAAAGGTTGGGTAGGGAAAACCAGCAGTCCCATCCCCTCTTCTCATGTCCCTGTACTGGAACCTCCGCACTCCCCGAGTCATGCTGAGACACTCCACAGATAGCTGCAGATTGCAGTCGCCCTGTGGTGTCGCAGAACACCAGCACCGCTTGCTCCCACGGACGGACATGCGCTGTGTCTACTTTCCAGCCCCTCTCTAAACCCCACCCACAGCTGGGCCTTTTACGATGATGCACTCAGAGCCGGCAGGTGTGATCACATGCCGTATCAGGTCTCTGTACCTGGCATTCTTCCTGTCACGTGATGTCCCTTCCAGCTCTGTCCACACTGCAGAAACACACATTGATGAATGTGGGGGTGAAAGAGAGCCCTTGGTATTACACAGCTTGGCCTCAGATGGTTTAGAGAATAAGACTGTCAGAAAGAAATACAGGTAAACAAAATGGGGTGAACTGTTCTCCACGGTCAGCCCTTCCAAGTGTATGCATACTCATTGTCTGTGCGTTTAAGTTTGAAATTTGAACAAGGCAGTTTAAAAACCTTGAGAGCGACACCCTTTCCATGCTGAGGCGAGAGGTGCTTTGTTGCTAGCTTTGAAAATTTGAAAATTGGCTTTGAGTCATCAAAACGTCCCAATTTGAACCTGAGCTCTGCCGCTTTCCCGCCCTGTGACCTCTGAGAGGCCGCATCATCATTATGAGCTCCCGTTTCCTCGAAGCTCCAAATGGCGTGACTACAGGAACAGCCCCCTTCGTGCTGTATTTGAGAGGTGGATGGGGCCCACGGGGCGGTTCTTAGGGAGGCACCACGGGGGGGTTAGCTTTCTGAGAGTGGCCTTCACCACGCTTCTCAGGAAAAGTCCCAGGGAAATAGGAAGGGGTGCTCACAGTCAACATGAGTCTAACACAACTAGCAGAGTGTGCAACCTTACTGGAAAGCGGCAAGGATGCGTAAGATATTTGTTAAACCAGCATGCCGGTATTCAAATACAGACGGGTGCAGAACCGTGGCAGATCACCTCTCTACTAAGTAGGGAATGAAAGGAAGCAGCATTGTGAAGAGGCTGAAGATGAAACACTCTAAAGAAAATAGTAGGGGTGTTTATATTACATACAGGAGACTAAAACTACACCTTTTCATTAAGGCACACACACACACACATTTCAGATATCACTCTTGGATAATGCAGTCCACTTAAATAAGGTGAGTTTTAAAAATGTTTCTTAGACAATGTTATAGTTTGCTCCTCTGTTGCTGTCATAAACACCATGTCCACAAACAACTTACTAACAAGAGGCTTATTGGCTAGCTTCTACCTCATGCTTGGTCAATTTTCTGACACAACCCGGACCACCTGCTCAGGGGATGGCACCACCCACAGCGAGCCCTCCCGTGTCATCAACAACAAGACAATTCCCATAGACGTGGCACTGACCAATCTGATCTGGGTAATCCCTTCACTGTGATCCCTTCTGTGCTGAGCAGCATCCTGTTAAAGGCCCTGGGAAGCTATTACCCCATCTTATTCCAATAGGGTGAATTTTTTGACCTGGAATTTCTGAGTCAGAAGTTGTGAACAGCTTCTTTTTTCCCCCAAATGTGTCTGTGAAGCTGAATCAGCAGATCCTTCTAACGGCTGGTCCTGAGTGTGCCCCGAGAGTCACATACTGTGCTGAGGACAGAATTAACCCTGGCAGCAGGGTTAATGCTCTCACCAGCCAATGGAAGCTGCATAGCTCACTAGCCATTCACAAATAAGAGAGAGGAATCTGGCACAGGAAGGCACAGAGCAGAGCACAGAGTAACGTTCTGGAAGTCTAGAACTAACCCCACGGTCCTCACTGCCTTGTGAAAGAACTAAAGGACAGGATCCCTGGGCCACAGAGTGCAGAAGGGCACCCAGAGATCACAGTGCCCGAGGTGGCTTTCCATACAGCTGCGGGAACTGACTGAGCCAAGGTCATCTGTGGCCAGCACTTCCCACCCCCGAAGCACCAAATCACGCCATGGTTATCACTTCACGTAGGGTTCATCAGCCTGAGCATCCCCAAAGCTCGTTGTCTGAAGTTCTTCAATGAACTGTCTGCTTGTATAATTCGATTTTTTCCATTGGTTTTATTAAATCCACAATTCCCTCTCCAATTCCCGGGGACAGACCAGTCTGTATTTCTGTTGCCCAAAGCAGAAATTAGAGACTCTGCTGGCTTCTGGCTCTTTGCTTGGTAGGAACACTGAGTTCAGCTACCCTGAGCACTTTCCTTCCCTGCTTGCTGGTTCCTGCTGTCTGGTCATTGTCACTGCCAGGACCCATGTCCAGGTGCAGACGAGAGGCATCTGTCTTAACATGCTAATTCCCAAGACCCATGTCTGTGCTGTCCCTGCCTGGCACAGGCACCCATGGAGGGCAGCTGTGGGAATCTTTCTGTCTACGTTCAGGATTCAGGCCACACCTCCAGAGACAGGAGACCATTAGGAGACAGTCTGCTTGATTTTCAGCTTTGTTTAGTTTTCTGGGAGAGGCATCTGCTGCATTTCCAAAGAAACAACAGTGACGTGCTGGTAGAGGTGAGCATAGCTGCCTTCCAAAGAAATAAGAGTTGACGCCCATTTGCAAAGCATCCCCTCTCCAAAATCTCTGCAAATTTCCAACAGTCTTCCAGAACGTCTCTCCAATTCTCCACATTTCCTCCTCTCTATGCATCTCTGGTGTTTTGTTTTGTTTTCCTTTCCTGTTGGGACCACTTTACCCCTGCCTCTCTCCATCCTTCTACATTTCAGGGCTTAGCCATAAAGGTGATTTCTAAAACTAAAGATGCTCCTGGGCCCACTCCACACACAAGTCACCCAGAATGGGGCAGCACCACCTGCCTATCTCTGCTACACAATTGCCTTGATTTGGATCACTTAAGTTTAACTCAATCCTCCTGCAAGCCTACGAAGTAAACATTATTATCTTCCTTTTCATTAGGTCAGGAACTGGAACTCCGGGTGTCAGAAGCACATCCCGGTTTGTAAGGAACAAAGCCAAAGCCACCATCGGAAGCAGACCGTTCTTAGATAGCCTGGCACTCCCCCTCTGCACCGGCCCTCCTCTCCTCCCTCAGCCCAGCCGACATTTGTGTGTAAGTAGCATCTGAAATGGAACAGAGACACTGCTCACTATCCCACCCAAGTCAGCAAACCCATCTATCCCGAGGGGTGGTGTCACAATTCGGGGGTGAAGCCCAAAGATGTTAGGTCAGCAATTTATGCTCACTAGGCTCCCAGACTGGCAAAGGTAACGCCCACCCCATCTCCATCGCCTGCCTTCACTTACCCAAGAGGAAGAGGAGGGCTCTCAGTGTCGGGAGCCTAGAGCTCATTGTGGTGTTCTGTCCTGGCTCCTGAGAGATCACGCAAGTGAGCCTCATGACCCCAGGCTCCGGGGATGGGAGCCAAGTCCCACGTGACTGACAAGGAAGGAAGCTACAGCCTCAGTCAGAGGCTGTGAGTTCCTCTTGGCCCTTTGCAGACTGGGGTGAGGGAAGTCCCTGTCACTTGGCTTCTGCCTGCTGCTGGTGGGAGGGAGGGAGTTTGCTGGTGAGGGTCCACCACTGGAGTCTGAAGCAGTCTCTGCGGTACGTTCTCTGGCTCTCTCCCTGTAGCTCTAAGTCTGAGGGGTCACTTCAGGTGGGTTTCTGGACCAGAGACCCCTGCTGTGAGGCCCCAAAGGAGGATATTGTCCAGCCTGATGTGTCCAGAAAGGAGACGTTGAGTAGCCTCTCAGCCCTGGGGCTGGAACTGTAGCGTTTGCTGCTGCAACCTCCCTTTCAACCCTGACTCTGCATTCACACCATGGGAGTTTCTGAGTCTGCGGAGGCCTTGATTCTCCTCTGAGAATGGCAGGCTCTGTTGCTGTTTTCTTGTGCTGTTAGGAACAAACCGGGGACTTCGGGTATGAGACAAAGACTACCTCTGGGCTACATCTTGATGCCCATCCCCGCCCCCCAGGGATAGCTCATTGTGTAGCCGGGGTTGGACTTAAGTGCACACAGATGTGTGCAACCAGGCCCAGCTGAGTAACAGCTTCAGATGCCCACACGAAAGTAGATAAGGATTGTAAAGTGGGTTGGAAGTGATGAAACATGGGTGTCCGAACGGTTTTTAACCTGTGATAAAGAAGAATGCGTGCTCCTTACCATGTCGCAAACGGCAGCATCTGCTCACAGATAAATGGTGGACACCGCCTCACACTGTCAAGGATATTTAGCCGTCCGCAAGGGCAGGAGTACAGAGGGAAATCCCCGACTCCTGCTCATATTGTCACCCACATGGTGACATCGCTGCATCTGGTGTGCTGCACATTTCCGCACGGCTGGGCAGGAGTGCTGGGCTTCCTGTTCCGGTTCCCAGCACTCACTCAGGGCAGCCTTTCCAGGCTCAGCTGGCTGACCTGAGGCTCCAAATGCAGTGGGTAAGCAATGTTACTTTTAATATACTAAGTCCACATAATGGCAAGTCTAGAACCTCCAACTGAGCTGACAGACTGTGAGCCCCCCGTCAGGGTCCCCTGTCAAACATATAAGTGGCCACCGTCTACAGCAGCACCTCCTCCTGGGCTGGTGCTTTCTGAGGACATGACAGTTACTTGACCCCATCCCAGCCTCCTGTGTTGACTATTAATGCTGACCAGACTCTGACAGAGGAAGAAACCAAAACACAGTCTAAACAGAGGTGTGTGTGAGGGCTGGGCTCTAACCACTCGGTCAGCAGCCTCGGCCAACCTCCCGCCTGCCTTTGACACCTGTCAGAGACCCAGATGTCTAAACAGAGGTGGGCAGACTACCGTGGTGGACAGATGTCCGTGATATCCTTTGGTGCGGTCACTTTTGCTCCTTCTGTGCATGAAGAAAAGGAAGTTGCATCACGAGCAATGCACTTTGCAGAATTTTAGTGTGTTACCAATATTCTATCCTTCCACCTCCACACATATCAACATATGTATATGGTCTTACTATATAGTCCAATGTGAAAGTCTCAGGCCATCTTGGGCTCCATAGTGACACTCTACTTCAAAAATAAAAATAAAAAACAGTAATTGAGTATGCAACTCAGTGGTAGACATTTGCCTGGCATGCCCAAGACTCCCAGACCACAACAATTAAAATACACTTGTTTCCCTAAACACGTATGAACCTAAAATTAACCCTTCTTATTAATTGTGTATAGGAAAAATACATCACCTACTCTGAGAGTGCTATAAGAAACCGTAGAAGCTTGAGAGATGGCTTGCTGGTCAAGAGCATTTACTACCCACACAGAGGACCCAGGTTCAGTTCCCAGCACCCACACGGTGGCTTGCAACCACCTGCAACTCCAGTTCCAGGAGACCCGGCACCAAGATGGATCACGTGGTTCTATATTGATGTAAACACACTCATTTTCCAATGTTGGCTACCAAATTTCAAGTGTTTCCACATGGCAAGCTAACACAGACACCAGGCTGCCACCGGCTCCTCCGCCCAGGGCATGGCCTGCTTTTCACCTGCCCTCACTTCCTGAGCTAGAGAATCCAAGCCCATTGGAGAAAAAGGAAAAAAAAGAACAAAGAAAACAGTGCACAGAGCCTCAAGATGCCTACAATGACTGCTTGACATCCCCAAAGATGGAGCCTTTGCCCTTCTGGTGTGGCCTGCTGCTCCCAGTGTGAGCAGGTGCCCTGGCCTATATACCTGTCATGAATAACCCGTGACTGTGGCTCTCACAGGTGTCATGGTGGCTCCCACTGCCCTAGCTGGTGAGTGTGTGAGAGCAGAAGCCAGAACCTTGCCTGGTGCCCTACGTGACTACTTAATGAGGGACTCAAATCCTGGCCCAGCTCACACAAGGTCGGCTGCAACGGGCAGGAATGGACTAGAACTTACCTGAGGCTAGAGCGGTCACCTCACAGAGAGCAGAGGGGGTCCGGCTTCAGCAGCCATGATGCTCTGCCCTGCCCCCGAGCTGCTGTTTCACCTCCAACTCGATCATGCCAGGGAGTCTCCTGCCTTCCTCATGTGTCCCCAGCCCTGCCGTGTGTGCCTTCAGTGCAAGGTGGGAGGAGCTCCCAAGCTGCCAGTGTTATGGGATACTTGCAAAAATAGCGATGGGGAAGATCTGACACACATGGGGTTTGTTAGATTGACTCAGAGCTCATCACCTAGTGATTAGAAGCATCCGGATCACGTTCACCTCTAACCCAAAATGGACACACATGGGCTACCAGGTAAATCTTAAAAATGTCACCGGATGTGTGACATACGGGTCATTTTTCTTAGCGCAGTACAGCTGAGTCATGACAATGACTCATAATAATGAGCCGCTTAAGTTGAGAGGATTTGGAAATTTAGAAATGTCTTTAAGTGACTCTGAGGTCAAAAGCAGCTGGGGTCGAATGATGAGGAAAACATTACATATTAGATGTCATAGAACGACGGAGTTAATAATTAGAAGGGAGTATGGGAATGCAAAAGCTGAAAAGAAATGAATGACATTGCATGGTCTTGTGTGCCTGCAGTTCCAGGACTCGGGACACAGGGGCAGAAAGGTCACAAATGCAAACTAGCCAGGGCCACACAGCAGGATGCTATCTCCATAGAGAGAAAAAAAGGAAAAGAACAGAAAAAAAGAAAAAAGCTGTACAGCCACCATTGCAATGTGATAACAACTAACATGCCTTTTCTCTTCCCTTCAAAAAGGGATCAATAAATAAAAATATGAAAACATAAAGTAATGAACCTGAGATAAAAGACTCAGAAAGACCAACAAAGCTCTAAAGTTTCTTTTTCTAATAAAACTAATAACACGATAAGCTTCTCAAAGAGTGGATTAAAAGAGAAAATGGATTTTAAAAACATAGGATAAATGAGACTATGAGTATAGAAAATTCTAATCATGTAATACTCAGCAATATTAACAATTTTAGACCAATAGATATCAAAAATTGGGGGAAGTGAACACAATCTCAGGAAAATATAACTTCCTGAAACATTGAGAGGAACGGAAATCAGGAAAAGCCCAGCACCTTCCAACAGATGGAGCCAAGTCATTAAAAGCTTCGTTACTAAATGTGTGTGTGTGTGTGTGAGAGAGAGAGAGAGGGGGGGTGCACGTCACTTTAAAGAGTTTTAAGAAAATATTAGAATTTTTAGAAGCAGAAAACTTCACCTTTAATAAAATAGCATGGAAAATATTTTATAAATAATATTCTCCCTGAACGGTGTGTGGTGGTGCACACCTTTAATCCCAGCACTCTGGAGACAGAGGCAGGCAGATCTCTGTGAGTTCAAGGCCAACTTGGTCTGCAGAGTGGGTTCCAGGACAGCCAGAGATACACAGAGAAACCCTGTCTTGAAAAAAAAAACAAAACCAACTATCCAACCAACCAAACAAACAAACAAAAAATACAAGCTAAAAGTAAAAATGATACCATTTTTCATGAACAACCCTCTACATAGAACATAATACATTTATCAGATGCACTGTGTGAGTGTGATGATCTGCTCTCTACATAGGACATAATACATTTATCAGATACACTGTATGAGTGTGTTGATCTTCTCTCTACATAGAATATAATACATTTATCAGATACACTGTATGAGTATGATTATGATGATCTTCTCTCTACATAGGACATAATACATTTATCAGATACACTGTATGAGTGTGACGATCTGCTCTCTACATAGGACATAATACATTTATCAGATACACTGTATGAGTGTGACGATCTGCTCTCTACATAGGACATAATACATTTATCAGATACACTGTATGAGTGTGACGATCTGCTCTCTACATAGGACATAATACATTTATCAGATACACTGTATGAGTGTGACGATCTGCTCTCTACATAGGACATAATACATTTATCAGATACACTGTATGAGTGTGATGATCTGCTCTCTACATAGGACATAACACATTTATCAGATGCACTGTATGAGTATGATTATGATGATCTTCTCTCTACATAGGATATAATACATTTATCAGATACACTGGAGTGTGATTATGATGATCTTCTCTCTACATAGGACATAACACATTTATCAGATACACTGGAGTGTGATTATGATGATCTTCTCTCTACATAGGATATAATACATTTATCAGATGCACTGTATGAGTATGATTATGATGATCTTCTCTCTACATAGGATATAATACATTTATCAGATACACTGGAGTGTGATTATGATGATCTTCTCTCTACATAGGACATAATACATTTATCAGATACACTGGAGTGTGATTATGATGATCTTCTCTCTACATAGGATATAATACATTTATCAGATACACTGGAGTGTGATTATGATGATCTTCTCTCTACATAGGACATAACACATTTATCAGATACACTGGAGTGTGATTATGATGATCTTCTCTCTACATAGGATATA